GCGTCGTCCGCGCGCACCTCGCGCTTTCCCGGCGAATCGCCGACGCCGTCGTCGCGGCGGAGCGGCAGCGAACCCCACTCGCCCTCCGGACCTTTCGGGTGCGGCCGATTCGCCAGTTCGAACCCCTCCTCGCGGAGCGGGAGGAGAACGCGGTGAAGTCGGAAATCCGCGAGATCAAACGCGAGGTGCGGGAGGATAAGAAACGCGTCGTGCGGCATCTCGCCGCCGAGGCGACGGTGCAACGGCGGGCGCGCGAAAAAGCCCAGGCGATCACCGACGCGCAGCGCGAGCGGCGGTATCATCAGGTGATCGCCCAGCTCCAGGCGCAGCAGCATATCATGAAAACGGTGGATGCCACGATGGCGAAGGCGAAATCGCGCCCGAAGAAAGGGATCTCGGGCGCGCCGAAACCCCCTTCCGCCGGTGGTGAGGGCGATGCGGTTTAATCAACGAACAAAAAGGAAGGGAAGATCGAGAACTCCTCAAAGAAAAAAAATGAAAAAAAAACAGCTTATAACCTCTCTATGATAGCTGTGCTTTTGTGTTGCGCACACGGCGGGTGGGGATGAGTTTGTTTGGGTTGTGGTCGCACAAGGTGTGGTTGTTAATCAAAGACTAATCATCGGTTAATGCAGAACCCTCCACGGCGTATAGCTAAACAAGAAATAATTAAATTTAATGCAATAGTATCAGCAGGAATAAAAATATACGCATACGCGAAAAGATCCAGGGTTGTGTGTGAAGGAAGGAAAGGGAATCAATGGGTATGGTACCCAGTTAATACCCCATTGCTCCTATTATTATTACCTTTTTAGCGTAACGTATGCCATCGCAAACAACGTTTGAGGGAGTTTTCTCTTCGTGGTCATTTGTTTTTCGTTCTCTGATGAGTCTGCTCAGTTACTGGCTTCGCTGCTTGTTTCAACTTACTTTGGCATTTCACTTACCATAATGGGTAGGTGAAATGGCAAAATGGAATCCCAACCAATCTCGTTTCTATCAAGTGGTCTTAAATTTTGTACCTCATGAATATTACTAGTAAATATAGTAATAACCATAACCGTCATAGATCAAGGTAAAGCATATACACCCACGTGAGCCGTCCAAACAGCGTTTTTTTTTTGAACCATTTGTTTCTCTTTTTAAGCACAAAAACCAACTAATAGGCTAATCACAATGGCCACTGTCAGTATCTACGATACGAAACAACGCCAACAGGGGTTTGCCAGCCGCTTCGCGCACAGCCACGCCGGGGCGGCGACGCTCGCTGGGGTGCTTGAAATTGCCTTCTTCCACCCTTTTGATACCACTACGAAACGTCTGATGTCGAACAAGGGCACCATCATCAGCCGAAGTTTCTATGAAACGTGTGGAAATTTAAATCGCGCGGTGTTTAACAAACACGCCGATGCGGGCGTGCTGAAGAAGTTGATCTACCTCTACCCGGGCTCGCTTTACGCGATCGTCTACAAGGTTTTCCAGCGCGTGTATAAGTTCGCCGGGCAGCCCTTGGTGCGGGATTTCTTCTGCGCGAATCACCGCGCGAGTTTCACGCGGTGGTTCGGCTCCGCCGATAAAGTCATGGAGGATGCCGTGGCGGGGTGTTTAATTGGGATCGGCGAGGTCCTTTTGCTCCCGCTGGATCGACTAAAAGTGCTCAGCCAAACGAACGAATCGGCGATGGGCAGAGGGCTGTTTCCGCTGCTACGCCAGGAAGGCTGGCGTGGGATGTACGCAGGGAGCGTCGTAACGGTTTGCCGGAACGCGCCCGGTTCGTTTTGCCTTTTTGGCGGCACCGCTTTCACGAAAAATTACATCTTCGGCCTGAAGGATCACCGGAACGCGACGCTGTATCAAAATATGACGGCCTCCACGGTGGGAGCTTGTTTATCGATCACCGTTACGAATCCGATGGATGTCGTGAAAACGCGAGTGCAGCGGCAGACCGCCGGGGAGCGGCAAAGCGCCATCGCTACGACGATTGCGATGCTCAAAGAAGAAGGCGTGAGCGCCTTTTTTAAAGGGCTAACCCCCAAAGTCATCGCCTCGTCGCCGAAGCTGATCTTCGCGTACACCATGACGGAGTTTTTCTACAAAACCATGAATAAGAAGGAGGATTCGAAAAAGTGGGTGAAATGATGATGCTTGGAAGGAACGAGCGGTAAAAAAAAAGATTGATTTAAAAAGCGGAAGACGCATAGAATAGGTGGTAATGCAATTAAAATAGAAACTTTATGGAGGAATTATATTCACAACACGGAGGCACATCATAGGAGGGTGGTAGCTTTACATCCTTTACTATCTATCAGGAAAGAAAGGGATCCTCCGACTCCTTGATTCTCTTGGCCTCGTTAGTTCATCGTTCTTCTTATTTCCATCGTGGAGGCTGGATCTGTGATGTGAATCTGTGCTGACAACCTGCGTGAAAAGGTAGTGAAAGAGAATAGAATGCTTATTTCGTATTTGCCGGTGATGATTAAAGACTATCCATAAAAGCTTTTGGGGAGTAGTTGAAGAGTGGTAAAATAAAATATAGAGGAATAGATCATTTTCTCAACACGAAAAAGACGACTCATCATTAATCCAGTCAGACGACTCCACTAAATCAGGGTGTGTTGTTCATCACGCCGAATCCACATTTCATCACTGGAGTGTCCTGTTCTTGATACCTTAGCAGATATAAACTTAACTATTTATGATTAGTATTATGGTTACATTATTGTTTTTTTTACTGGAAAGTGTAATAATGAAACTAATACTAAAAACAACAGCAACCGTGAAATTATACGCGAGGATTTTTTGTGGGGAAGGGAAGGAGGAGTCTGAGGATCGCTGCTTCTCGTTCAAGAACCCTTTTAGCCTTCGCCTTTGTTCTTTCTGTAGGTTTGCCCCCTCACATACACACACACACACACATCCACACATCCACACACCCACCGAGCCCAAACCAAACGAAACGAAACGAAAAGAAACCCCCCAAAGAAGGCCCGTTCGACCTCGCCGCTGGAGAGTCCCGCGATGCTTGCCTCGTCGCCGGAGGCGGATACCCTAACCAACCTCACCTCCCACCACGCCCTTCTCGAGCACGTCGTGGCCGCGCAGCTCGGCCCGATCGCCGGGAAGGTCGTCCGCGCCCTCCGCGATCACCCGCGGTTGACGTTGAAGGAAATCGCCGAGGCGGTGCGCCCGCGGGAAGGGGGCGGTCGCGCCAGCGTCGCCCACGCCCTCCACGCGCGCGACGTCCGC